TGTGTGATCGGAATAGATGCTACACTTAATCGTCGTTGTCGTTTTGGGGGGCGGGGTAGTTAGTTAGGTTCGGGCCTCTCTCTCTTTCTCTCTCTATGAAGGAAAGCAGAAGGCGGGACGGGAGGCAGAGGAGCGAAGAGTGGCAGAGATCGCAGGACACGCGGAGTAGGAGCGGTGGAGAGCGGAGGAGGGGCGGCGAAGTCAGGGGAGAGGGCGGAGGAAGCAGGGAGAAGTGTACTGACCTGTGTCTGCCATCTTCGACCTGCGTTCAGGCGTCATTGATGCAGAACTCCGAACGGCCAACCACAAACCACGGCCAACGAGAGGTGAGCGAGCGAGAGAGAGCCACAGCTTACAGCACCAACGGCCAACCACAGGACAGAGAGAGAGAGAGAGAGAGAGAGAGAGAGAGAGAGAGAGAGCTTCACAACAAGGTGCTTCACAACCGGGCGCACGGCGCGCTTCACGACAACAGCAGAAGCACGACAACACCAAATACAATGGACCGAGGGCGCTGCACGACAACGGCCAGTCCAACGGGAAAGTTGGGTTGGCCCAACGTCCAATAGTAGCACCCCACGACACTCGGCGCGCCTAGCTGAGCCGTCGGTCCGGATCGACGGCCTGGATCTCGGCGCAGTCCTAAGTTCTTAAGACCGCACTATCCATGCCATCGGTCTGGTAGGACCCGACGGCCCACATGGCAGATTTGTTACATGGTTCGTTCGATCTGGGCCGTGGGCCGGTAGGACCTACGTCGGCCCAGATTTCAGATTTGTCACGTTAGCGATTTTAATAGTGTAGGTATAGACCGAATACCAGAAGATCCCGAACCGGAGGTAGAGGTCGTCCCCATCTTACACGATGGAGATTCCACCACACCTCCATACGTATCAGGTCTTCCATGCATCAAAGTTGTTACCTTGTGTCACCAGCAAACAGTTTCCTTCACAGAGATCTATGATTCCGCCAGATATGGATGACACTTATGATATAGACCGAATACCAGAAGAGGTCGTCCCCAAAAGCAGTAGAAGGTCAGGTTCGCTTACCAAGAACCTGAGGACAACAGAGGGTTCACAAGAGCCGAACTTCTACAAACCACTCCCGGCATAGTTCATGATAATGAAAGAGCAAGAAAGGGCAAAGGTCCTGCGTTGGATTAGAAAGTTCTCGGAGGACCTCGAATTTAGGACAGCGGGAGTGAAAGGGTTTCACCCAGTTCGCGTGACAAATACAGATCCCAGGGCTCCAGTCGCTGGACCTATCCCAGAACTCCCTGTACAGCAACTCGTTGCCCCTGTGTGCTTTGAACCCGTAACCTGTGTTTTTTGTGTACTGCCAGGTCACGTGGACTTGAGCCATATACCTTAGCGTTAGCAGTCCTAGGGTCAGTCCTATAGTTAGCCTTAAGTCTAGCCAAGGGTCAGTCAATCAAGCCTAGGAAGATCTAGAAGTCGCTACTTTGCTCTTCAGAGCTGTAGGAGCCAGTCAACTGTAGCTGAGTCAGCAAAGTATGGTTTAGTCCTAGTCTAGTCAGCAGCTCCAGTTCCAGTCCCAGTCCCAGTCCCAGTCCCAGTCCACCCTGTCCAGTCAGCAAGTACCAAGTGGGACTGCACATCCTACGGCCTTGGGACATCGGGCAGGCCCAGACCACCTACCGAAACTGTATAAATAATGAGGCAGCAACCAGCCATGCATTCATTCGCCTGCGGGCCATGCGGAAGCATTGCTTGTGCGACTTGTGCATCGGAGGTCTGCAGGAGCCCGGTGACGCAGTGGGCTCGTGGAGGAAGACACCAGCGGCCATAGCCGCTAAAGTAGGAGGAAGACGATGGCGTCCATAGCCGCCAGCCTTGTTGACGACGACAATAGTGTGTGTGCGTAGACAGTCAGCGTAGATCCTAGTGTGTGTATACAGGCGTGTGAGCGAGTGTGAGCATGTCTGATGGTGGATACAGTATTCGGGTGGGAATTCAGACTGGCGGTCAGACGCCATAGCCGCAAGATGTGACAAGCTTTCTGTGTGGGCGCAATGTGCCATCTCAAGTTTATTGCTGATTCTGCGTTGAGGAGGTTGTTCTGCCATCGACACCTACACGTATGTGTTATGATTCTAGTTGTCTGTTGTCTGAAGACCAACACTCACTCGCATAGACTTCCAGGTATGCCCATACATACACAGAAGGAAGGGGAGAGGATAGGAGTATCACACCGCACAGGGAGAGATAAACACTGAAAGACTTGACCATGCGATATGACAGGGTACACTGAAAGTGCAATTCACTCCACTCAATCCTCGCAACCAGTCATAGAGAAAAGCCGAGCAGATCACAATCCAGAAAACAATGAAACGATGATAGTCCAAACCCAGTTATCCACTGTTTATTAAACTCCGAGTCTCGAATTGTCAGGATAACTTCAGTACTACAGTGCGCTGCTCAGAAATGAGCAGCGCTTCACTCCCCAACCCTGAATAACACCCATAACACCCCTGAGCCACTGAAACATCAAGCGCCACCCAGATACAGCCTCCTGAGGGAAGCGCCACCCTGAAACAGGCCTCTGAGGCCAAGCGCCACTCAGAGGATGAAGAAGAAGACCAGCACCACAGTATCTGATGATGACGAAGTGTCGGAAGACTTCCCGGGTGGAAGTCTGCAGCAGCGCCACCCAACCCTGACAAGATGACCTCTGAGGAAAAAAACTGCAGCTATGGCTGCAGCGCCAACACCCTGGAACCCCACTCCGGAGGAGGGTCCAGCAGGGCACCAATCTCTCTCGCCTCCAGCAGACCTCGATAACCCAGACCTCTGTCAGCCCCTGCGTGCTGGCAGAGTAGCGCAGGTCCCAGCTGTGGCCGGAGCTCCGAAGGTCTGGCTATGCCTGTCTACTTCCACGCTGAGCCATCACCACTTCCGGTTCACGCGTAGCACAGCAGCGATGTACTCGGTACCGACTGCCAAAAGCCCTGAACCGATGTGCCCAATCTATCTATAGACTACAACTAGCCTAGACTCGACCTAGACCGGACTGACTGACCAACCGGTACCGTTTCTGTTTCGGCCTCTCAGCCTCTACTGGACCCAGCTATAGGCTATAGGACCGTCTATCAGAATAGGCCCTTAGGGCCTGTCTGTCCTAAGGGTAGCCCGGGCCTGCTATGTGCAGTTAGGGTAGCTGTAGGGAAGTCGGTTAGTACTGGGCCTGCATTTTCCCGTATTTGCAGATCTGTCTCTCACGATTTCCCTCACAGGTAGGTCTCTCGGTTAGCCCTCAGCCAAACAAAATTACGAATCTGTTCTACTTTAAGTACAACCTCGACAGAGAGAGGCTACAGGCGACCAGAAAACAGCAAGTCATTGCATATGCATGTTGGCAGTGAAATCGAGACAAGTGTGATTGCAGGGCCATGCTAAAGCACCACCTGCAATGACAGCTTCCCTGATTCTACTGGTAAACAAGGTGTTCTCCGGTGAGCCTGGGCGAGTACATGCAAACAAAAGTAAACATGTTTCAACAAAGGGCCTCAAAATGAAACCACAGCCACACATCCCCATGACCAGCTCCCCGTCCACCACATGAACCAAGGGTCACAAACAGAAACTTTGACAATGACCTGACACAAACTACCACAACCCAAAATCTAGTAATTTAGATTCGAGAGAAGGATTTTGAACAGCATAGGCTCGAATTCCAAAGGTGTGATAGTATCAAGTCCATGTAAGGAGCACATTACATTACATCAATAAATGGAACGAGATTCAAATGCATAAAAGATTGAGGCACAAAAACGAGCAAGGTAGTTGAGCACTGACCTGTCGCTGTTCGTCTGTCAAAAATGAGCCTGAGAGGTCCCTCAGTATGGACAGCACTTCATCCCTGGTAACCTTTCCATCCCCATTCTTGTCATAAACCTTGAAGATAACTGGATATCAAATATCACAAATGGAAACAACACAATAGCATCAAACATATGGACGCACAAGAAGAGGCCACACGCCGGATCTTTTGAAAGGAAGAAAAACAGAACTCTTCAGGGAGCTGTGTTTGCCTCATGAACGAAAGGCGTCGTGCAAATATGCATATGCCATAATTTCAGAACATATGGCACATAAATCTTGTCAGGGCATGTGGAGGTGAATCTGTGGATTTGAATTTTCACAAGGGATTGAAGGGAATGAATTTGGCTGTTGCAGTCAAGAACGCAGAGGTTCTTACTCATGAAATCAACTCCACATTGCATAAACCAATCATCAAGTTCTCTCTGCTCTCTCTCTCTCTCTCTCTCTCTCTCTCTCTCTCCCCAGCAAACACACGCGCAACCATGTTCGCCCCTTTGTTTTCAGCTTGAATTCAATTACTGTTGTTTCGTTTCGTATTCTGCTGTCCGATAAAGTATTACAAGTTCACCTTCTTTTTACATTGGAGCATCGCTCAGTTTATCTGTGTCACCTTGTGCATAGACCATCCTCATATCCTCTGTGTCACCTTGTGCATAGACCATACTCATATCCTCTGTATCATTCCAACTTTAACATATGTTGCGAAGGACATGATTGACTGATGATTCTACAATGCATTTCATCCATCTATTTATGTAACGAACCCGGAAGTCTTGTGAAGCTGACAATATCAGCATGATGCATGCAGTCTCACACATGCAAAGAAGTCTCAGAATGTAACAGAAAGTATCCAGAAAATTAGACAAAGGTCAAGAAGCAGAGGAGAGAAAAGCTTCACTAATAGACAATGAATACAACTGTTCGGCTTTTCCAATCCTCCTTCTGCTTCAGGTCTACTCCCACTCAACTCAACACCTCAGCAACCTACCCCTCTACTCACACCACTTATCAAAGTCTCTGTTCGAACCAGCAGACCCAACCACCAGCGTGCAGCCCAGCCATCGAGGTTGGTTTTCAGAGCCACTGTCACATCATCAAGAGGAGCACCAGGAAAGTCAGAAAAGCTTATCAGCTTCCTCCCTCTCTCGCTTGCTCTCACCTCACAGGTCTGACCACCCTCAATCTCACTCTACTAATTACCTATGACACTATGGGCTGTCTACTACCGCTCCGTCTCCCTCATCTAAGGGTGGCCAATATATCCGATTGTGTGGAGGATACTGAGTGAGGAGGTGGGCACGAGACTCTTGAGGGAGGAGTCGTGGCTGCAGCAACCAGAAAAGCTAATGCTGTTGGCAGGCGTAGGGGCGGGCCAGCAAAAGAGTCCAGTTAAGGACCCCAACGCACCTCTATGGGTCAAAGCAGGTCTAGAGGAGGATGTGTGGCATGACCCCTATGTTCGAGGCACTTGCATTAACTGTGGCCAGTCCAGTCACACTCACGAGTGGTGCTAGAACAAGAAGACGACCACCATTGGACAGGTTGGATACTCATTCCAAGTGATTACTTCTGCGAGTACCTCTTGACGAAACACATCGGGCCAGTAGAAGTTATAGCTGCTTCTACTTGGGCTGGAGTGGTAAATGATCCCTCACCATTCTAGGAGATGGCCGAAGCTATCAACTCTTTAGTCACCCTGCAGACAAATCCCGACCAAATGATACTGTGTTCATTGGCTGTGTTTGTAGCCTTAGAGGAACTACAAAGAGAGTGGTCTCAGAAAGATCCTCCAGATTCCTGGGTGGCAATGTCAAAGGGTCCCGAGGTGGAACAATTCGTAGTAGAGATCAGTGAAACATTGGATCTACTAGGAACTTTATTAGTTGTTCTTGTCTGGAGAGGCTGCGCTTGCAACGGCTGAGTGGAGTTGTAGAGTCTACCTTCGCCAACAACTGCATGGATGTGGAGGACTATGTCAAGGACACCTTCTCCCATGGAGGGGAACTACATACGATGCCGTCCCTGGTAAGCGATGACTCGCCTTTCGATATGTTGTTAGGTATGTACTACCTCAAGGGTGCCAAGCCCCAGTTTGACTAGGACCGAAAGTTGCTGAAGGATGTGTGGCCTGATGGGAGGACCGTTAGCCTCAGGGAGCGCACATGCAGCCATACGAGTCCACAGTGCTCATAGGCTAGTGGACTCGTATGACTTCATGCGCGCTCAGGCATTCTATGATTACAATAAGCAAAAACCCCAGAGATTGAAGAAGATGTTGCTGAGCATCCTTACCTTTCCAAGATCCTACAGGTGTTGTAGAAAGGGAGACTGTCCACACAATAAACATCATTCCCGGCCAAAGAGAGAGCAGCAGCCAGCACGTAGCACGTCCAGCAGTTGAACCCCATAACCAATTGGGGCCCAGGGCACATTCAGGAAAGGCCCTGGGCACAGATACTGGGTCAGGCCATCTGCATACTGGGAACCATGCCCGTGAGTCCAGGCAGCCTGAAGCAGCGACCACTTTCCGTATTGGAAAGTGTCGGTCTGGGGCAGATACTGGGTCAGGACATGTGCATACTGGGAACCATGCGCGTGAGTCCAGGCAGCCTGAAGCAGTGACCACTTTACGTATTGGAAAGTGTCGGCCTTTGGCTGGAAGCTGCTGCGACAGCACTGGAATTTCCTGCACTGGTCTAAGGCAGGGCGCTAGCTGGAGAAGGGGCGCACAACCGGTGCTAGGTGTAGAGCTGCTGGGCGCAGCTAGGCTGCTCACTCCTGGGGTCGATCTGGGTCCTTAGGCGAGGAGGAAAGCCTGCTATCAGACAGGGTAAAAGTCGTGGAGAGAGGAGGACGTACATGGTGTGTCGTGGAGGTCTGCATGGGCCACGTCTTCATGCACATCAGTCCACTGCTGAAGTGCTTCTGGTTGCAACGTCGTAGCGTAGGCTAGTACAGGTGTCATGAGTCTGTGGTTGGGCACCAGGCGCCCTGTGGAAGAGCAACATTGGATACTTTGCTGATGATGGCGAGTGAGGGGCTGACATTGACAATTGTGTCCATTGCTTTGCTCCTGTCTGTTGTGTACTTGTCCTTTCTGTGCAACACACGACCATCCGGTTTTCCATGTGATGATGCAATTTGAATTTCTGTCATTGCTCATTTGTCTTGCATTTATTTTCCATCGAAGTGTCTCACACCGTAGAGTTTTCTCAACTTAATATTATAGTTGGGATAAGCGTGCTGGGTACCCATGATGTATCTCAAGAAATTCTCTGGCATTGGAAGTTCATGGTAGCGGTTTATATCTTGTTCATCCAAAAATCGAAGTACATCACGGTTCAGTTCTTGATTTCAAGAGAGGCGAAGAAAACACAGATCCAACCAAAAACAGTTCCAGGCAAATATTTCTTTTTGTTTTGTGAGGAATATAACTTTGGGAAGCTTCTGTCTTCACATCCTTCCCCATTATCGGAGCCCGGGTGCCCGTCAATCCAAAACATAGACCCACAGGGAGTAATAATCACTCTTGTACATTGCACAAGGTAAGGGTTTTGTGGTCTTTGACCCAAACAATCTTCCAAGTGGGATAATCAGCTCTTTTACATTGCGCAAGGTAAGGGTTTTGGCTCTTTGACCCAAAACAATCTTCCAATTGGAAAGAGCAGTTCAAGACCTGGAGTTCAATCCAGCAGAGTGGGCATGGCTACCCGACAAGAACAGAACAACCAAAACCCTGGTCCAGATACCAGACTACACAGTCAAAATGGGGTATAGAATGCGGCTTACGACAAAGGATCCAGAGCCAACAATCAAACACAAATGGACCAGATTAATCAGGCCAGAAGTGGAGCAAATGGCTAAAATTCCCTGGAGAAAATTTGATACCATACGTACAGTAAAAACCAGAAGCCTACAATGGCTAATTTCATACGACGCAGTACCAGTACATCACTGGCTACACATACGAAGAAAAAGAATAGCCCACACAGCTCAGGCATTTGTGTAGTCTTCTAGGACAACGAACAGGAAGATTTGTTACACTGCTTAATCAGATGCAAGGAGGCGACCGAATACTGGGCTAGACCCTCTGACCTATGGGACTGTCTATTTCCTTTTCCATTCCCCGAACATCCTCTCCAAATCCTCCTATGGATTAACACCCCCTCTCACTTCGGCAAACTGGAATGCGTCTGGTTCAGAATGATATGCAAGACACTGCTTTGGATCATATGGAAGGAAAGATGCAGCAGCATGCTTGATAACTCCATCAGTCCACGTGACAAAGTTTCGGCATCGACGAAGGGCCTAATAAAAGCAGACATCATGTGTGAGTGGCGCAAAGTCAAGCTCATTATACAGAACAATCCAGACACGCATCAGGAAGTTTAGGCCAAACATGGCAAACTCTTGCTGCCAAGAGGCAAAGTGGCTGAGATTGGCGGATACAATCTCAGATGGAAGGATTGGCACAACTCTAATGGCACCCACAAACTGCAGGTCACCCAGGAGCCTGAACCTCGGCCTTCCAGCAGAGTGAGCTAACAAAGCAATTATCAAGAAAATGGGTCTCCAGTATTTGGGTCGGCCCAAAGGGAAGCAAACAGCGGGACAAATGCACTCCTACAACGGGGGAATGCTTTTTTTGGCCTTGCTTGTCTTTTGCGGTTTCCCTGTTTATGTCGACATGTTCAGTGCGATGGCCTGATCTAGGAAAGTAATAGAAGAATGGCAAGTTGACAGTTAATCCTCCAAGCAATTGGAGCAATCAATACTGGTCAGGGATCCTTCTGCCAAATGGAAGGGAGCGTGGGTGATGTAAATGTTGTACCTTTGACATGCTGGGGGAATAGTAACCACGCTGATGCTCCCCAGATAGGATAAGGCATCAGACCATATGTGACGGCCAGTGCAGAAAAGACGTCCACCTGCCTAAGTGAAGGCTGGCTTGTCCTTTGAGAAATCCGTTGAAATTGGAACGACACGGAGAAGATTAGCATGAACAAACAAAAAAACAGTGAAGGCCGGTGTGACGCAGTTGGAATGAAGACCAGGGGCAGCGTCTACAACTAATCAGTTGGCCCAGCCTCCCAGTTAATCACAGAGGATGAGGCCCACGTACCCAGTGGGCCAGTACGGATTGTTCTCAGACTGGGAAGAGCCCTGTCCCAGCCAAAGGCAGTTGCGGCCACCAGAAAGCAACAAAAGGAAGGAGGCCACAGCATTCCACATGTTCAGCGGCACTGGCTGCCTGCACTTCTGCACTTCGCTTGTGGCATACTGCGTAGCCACGCGGGCCTACAGGGCCCGTCCCGGACATTCAGCCTAAAAGCCTAAAACTTAGGGCTTATGAAACGGTATTCACCAATTCGTGGTAGCTGAGGCAGATCCCAGGGCTTGATCCCTAGTTCCCCAACTTACCTGTGTATAATATCTACGTCAACTCGAAGAGTTGAACCTGCGACCTGTAGAACCGCCAGTGGTAGGTAGATTGTCGTAGGGCACA